CCTCCCGGTCTTTATCTTTATTTAGCCTGCTGGCCTTGGTGTCCTCACCAGCCCCCAGCACTGCGTCCTGGCCCCCGTCTCTACCGCAAGCATCATGCCTGTGAGGAGCTGACAGTTCCCCAGCACGCGGCTCAGGGGGCTCCTTCACCAGGCTCAGACATCGGTTAGGTCCGTATAAGGGGTGCTCTCTCATCTGCCGTACCCTGAAACAGACGAGACAGGACAAGGAAGTCAGGTGCATATGCCAGAAACTGCTCCCTGGAGAGGAAAACTAGGAAGGCGGAGAAACGGAGAGGCCGTTTGCCCCACTCACTGTTTTCCTCTCTCGGCCCATCTCTTCTTGTGCTTTCTCTAAGACGCAGCTCTAACCTTCTCAAGGGGGCCTCCCAGCCTCCTCCTACCCCCAAACTGGAGAGTACTTTAGCCTACCCTCTGTGTTTGCCTCAGGAGGGACACTTATCACAGATTACGGAATTTGCCTCCTTGCCGGCTTGAAACCCATCAGTGTCTGGAAGGTGGTGATTGTTAGATGCCCTCAACTCGGTTCCGGTTCCGCTCATAGAGACTGCGCACACCAGAAAGAAACATGGCCCGGTCCTGCGTCAATGTCTGCGCCCGCTGTTCCGGGCACAGTGTCACTCTACCTCCTGGAGGATCTTTCTCTGTGCTGGCCCAGGAATGCCCCCGGCCCCTCTTCTTTTGACCTAAGTGGTCGAGCTTCCTCAGGCCCAGGAGTCCAGGCCCCAGGATCCCCTTTCCCTCCGAAGCCAGGAGTCTGATGCCCAGCAAGCTCTTCCATCAGCCTCAGAAGTGGGGGCCCCTAGCCTTGCTTGTGGGGACACACGAAGAGGGTGGATTGTAGCAGCAGTATGCCATCTCCGTGACAGACAGAGTCAAACAGAAAGGAACCTCCACAGATAAAATTGGCAGAATCGTTTGTCGCACGGCTAATTCTAGCTGAAATGAGAGACCTGGCGTAATAAACTTGATGGGAGGATATGGAAGGTACACTAACTGAGCTAACACTGCTCAGAGGGCTTCGTCGGCTTAATTGTTTACCTCCCATCTTCAAGGAGGTGCTAGGGATGAAGAAGCCTTTGTTGGCAGGCAGGGAGAGAAAAAGCCGAGGGAAGGTCTTTGATTGGCCTGCTGGTCACATAGGGAAGGCCACTTTAATTGCTTCTCCCATCCATTCTTCCCAGAAGATAATAAAGTAATAATTCTGATACATCAGGGATTCTTTCCAGGTCTCCAGTAACCTTGCTTAGAATTATAATCTTGGAGTTACTTTATCATCTTTAATAATAATTGATGTTTATTGAGCTCTTATTATATTGATAACACTGGAACAAGTGCTTTATAGTACCTATCTACTCTCCACACACACCCTTTTAAGATCAGCTCAATGATTAATCCCCTAGCAATTGTATATACAAACAGGCAAAATCTCTAGGGCCACACAGCTATTCAATGGCGGGCTTGGGATTGGACCCCAAGCAATCTGACACCGAAGTTCAAGTGCTTAACTGAGCCTTCTGCTTCCTCTTTTTTGAAGTTACTGTTTCTTTAATTGTTGTGTATTATCTGGGAAAATGAATATATCCAGAGATTCCGTTCCCACCAAGAGAGCATCGCATACTACGTGGGACCATTCTATCACCCACCGTATTTTTAGTCACCTCACCTTTTTTGACACACGTTTGGCTAGAAAGTCATCGTGCCCGTGATAAAAACCCAGACTCCTTCCTGAAGAGCCAGTTGGCAGCCCGTGAAGGAGGACTTCTTCTGGAAAGGTATTCCACACGGGAGGCATTCTTCCGGTCACTACTCACCTCGTCCATGGCTCCCTGCCCCCTGCACGCAAGTCCAGTGAAGATGATGCCGAAGAGCACCCCCAGGGCCATGATGACATAGGGGATGTTGGTGATGATCATGGCATTGTTCATCACAGACTTCAGCCGCTCTGCACTCTCTTTATCAATTACAATGCTCTAGAGAGGCAAGAAAATCGTCAGTCTCTGATTATTGAACATCCAGCTATCATTGTTTTTCTGTGTATTTCTTCCAGGGGAAAAAAAAAAGCTTTCTCCAGTTAGCAAAGCAGATAGACTGAGAATCCATTTGTGAGTAATATAGTCAGAGTAAGCATGTATTCTTTATCATCTTTTTTTCTCTTGAACACCCCCCTTTTTTTAAATTCTTAAAAGCACGCAGAAACGAAGGAAAAAGTATTCAGAAATACTAAAATAATGTCCTCTCTTTATGTTCTGTCTAACAACTCCCAACACATCATTCAAATTCCAGTATGGTATAATTTCCTTTCTGAAGTTTCCTCTGGCCAGCCCAATTTGGTTCAAGACCCTTCTCGGACCTTCTGGCTCACTCTGTACGGTACGATGCTCCATCCCTGTCTCACCGTCTACACTGCCTGGTCTGTTTCACCTGTTGGCTCCCCCAGCTGTGTCTTCTCTGACGGCAAGGTGGCCGGCCTGACCTCTCAACATCAGGGCTTTCACTGGGGACCCGGTAGGTGCACACTTGGCTGCCCCAAGGAATGGTCTCAGGCAGGACTTACCTCATTTAAATACATTACCGGGAAAACCAGCGTTCTCATGTTTCCAGTTTCACTATAAAGAAAAAGGGTGGGATTGGTTTAGTGGCGTCGCCAGCCCACGCTAGCGGCCCACTCTGCAGAGACAGGCGCGTTTCCACGAACATCCTAGCACGCATGTTCCATCGCACGTTCCTGCTGGCTTCTCAGTTCCCGTTTTAATCAGAAGTTGGACTCCAGTATTCATTCCTGTCAGTCTAGCCATCGCACTTTGATGCAAAGTGTAATGATCCAAAATCAAGGTGCCGAGAGCAAGTTCAGCCGAGTGCTCGTCTCTTAACCGTCACCCCCGGGAAACTACACAGTGCAGAACCCCTGCCTTCCCTCAGGGACTTGTCACCGAGCGCTGCCCCTCCTGCTGTGGGCATTTTTATTGCAGGTTTACCCGAGAGGAAACCGGGCCTCCGGTTTCTCCGGCTGTGCCCATTAAATACTAAATTATTCCACCTCAGGTTAGCATATGTGGGTGACAAAACTTACTCTCACAAGACACGTTGGTTTCATAACATGCAGAGAGAAATCTGGTAAGTGCCATTGGTGGGCCAACCAGCCGTTTCCTTTTGTTTCTTCCATATGTATATATCTGTATATTTGTATGTGTGTATATGCGTGTATACATACACACAAACACATATGCACCTACTTGTTACACATGTGGTTTTCATTGTTTTTTACACTCAACGTTATAAACATTTTCTTATATTTAAAAAAAAATCCCCAGTGAACAGTTAGAACACATTACACTGAAAGAATCTTAACTAAGTGGTGGCTTTTAGAGAAGGAGCCTTAGTGGCATAGTGGTTACACATTGGGCTGCTAACTGCAAGGTCCGTGGTTCGAAACCACTAGACAGCTCCACAGGAGAAAGACGGGGCTTTCCACTCCCATAAAGAGTTACAGTCTTAGAAATTCACAGGGTAGTTCTAGCCTGTCCTATAGGGTTGCTGTGGGTCAGCATCCACCCAGTGGCAGTGAGTTTTGTAGTTGTTTATCAGATGAAATCAAGGGATGATTCAGCAGGAGTAATCAGAAGACATTAGTTATCGCTATCCAAACAAGTGAGCATGGGTGCGCATCCCAGGTGGGAGCAGAAGGGGAGGACATTTCGGGGAAGGAAATGTTTCTTTAAGAGCGGACTCCGGAGCCACGCAGCCCTGTTATCTGCGAGCGCTAACAAGTTACTTAAAAGCTGTGCCTCGGTTTTCTTGTCTGTAACGACTGGTTGCCATTGAGTCGATGTTGAGTCACAGCGAGCCTCTAGGGCAGGGTAGAACTGCCCCTGTGAGTTTCCAGGGCTGGAACTGTTTACCGGAGTAGAAATCCCCCCTTGCTCCCTCAGAGAGGCTGGTGGTTTCAAACTGCCGGCCTTGTGGATTGCAGCCGAATGTGTAACCACTAAACCTTCTGGGCTTGTGGGGATAATATACTGGGTTCGAAATGAGTTCATGTACGTTCTTGGGTTTACAAATATGTTTACTCAAAGAATCTAGTCCTTTCCTGAGTTCCTGAGAGAAAACCCAAACCTGTCGTTGGCGAGATGGCGCTGACTCAGGGCAGTCCCAGGTGTGATGGATGAGTGCTGGCTTCCAAGGTTGTGATTTTTACCAAAGCAGATCGCCAGGCCTTTCATCCACAGCACACCTGGATGGGCTTGAATTGCTAACCATTAGGGTAAGAGTGGAGCACAGACCTTTCGTGTCACGCAGGGAGACCTTGGTTCCTGAAAGACAACCCCTAGACTGTGCCTTTCCTAGTGACTGAAGATCTTGAAGGCTGGCACATCACAACTAATGGGGCCGCTCAGGAGGGGCTTGGCCTTGACAGGATGACCTACCCCATGACATCAGCCGGCCTCAGGGAAAGGGGTCATGACTCGATCAATCATGACTATGTCCCCAAGAGGGTCTCTGGGCTTCCTGGTTATGAAAGACATCGCTCCGTGAGGGAGTGCTGTGTGTCCCTTTGGGGGCTGTGGAAGCTCTACACTGGGAGCCTCCCAAACGTGGTCCTGCCCTTCGCGCTCATATTGGTATCTTCATTTTGCTCAAGCGAGACACTAATTATTAGCACCCCTACTCTGTGAGTCATTTAGTGCATTATCTAACTCCAGGGACTAGTGGGTGCCATGGCACCCCAAGCTTGTGGCTAGCTTCTAAAGCTCTGAGCCAATTTGGCTGTGTGTGTATACTGTGCCTTTTAACTGTGAGATCTGGCCTGGCTCCGGGTGGCTGGGGCAGACGAAGAAGGACGGCAGAAGTGGCACAAAGGGACTCAAACGAGCACCCGTCTAAGTGAGGCGTCAACTGTGTCCACCAGGAAGGAGCACACCAGCCTGTGCGATCTAAAGATGACGATAACAAACCCAAATTCGCGGAAGGGAGAAGTATCAGAGCTTAAATGGTGAACACCCAATTTGTCGATGGCTATGGGAGACAGTGGAAGCCCACAATTCCACGGCAAGTGTCTGGTCAGATTGAGCCTCTGGCAGATCCACCCTGGCCATCGTCGAGGGAGGCAAACAGCCTCGCTACCTGACAGAGATGATGGTAAACTTGACTAAGGGGTATGGGACTCCAGTATAATATTAAACCTGTCAGTTGACCTCCCTCTGGACCCCTCCTGAATTTGCTCTTGGAGTAAATATTTCTCACATGTTCCATGACAGAAATTTTCTCTCTGGCTTTTTGTAATATTGCTGGTAATCTTTTCTTTCTTATTCTTTATTTTTATCTTTATTTCAGTACTACATTCTTTCTGTTTCATTTTGTTTTGTATTGTTCCTGTTAGGTTTCCCAGTTAATGAAGCACAGAAGGAGTGGATGCACAGAGACAATGACTTATTCAATGGTTTATCTGGGATGGGGGGAGGGGAATTGGTGAGCAGCAAATGAATGGGGAGCGTGCACTAAACGTGACTGTGGTGATATATATACAGCTCTTTTTGAGTGACTCAACTGTGGAAGTATAAGATATGTGAACGCTTCATCAATGAAACTAAAAATGGTTAGTCTTATGCAAATACACAGCACTGAAGAAATGTTCTAGGGAACAAGCAAGTCTTTACAAAAGCAAAAGTCACCAAACAGAACAGTGAAAAAAAGAAAGAAGCAGGACAGAGCGGAAGGGAATGGCCTTGAATTGAATTACAGTTGGGCATCAGAGAGTCAGACATGGGAATTTCCAGGACAAAGGGGAGAAAGGGGGAACCAATCACAATGATCAACGTATAACACCCCCCACACCACACCCCTACACACAAGGTGACGAACAACAGAAATATGGGTGAAGGGAGCTAGCGGACGGTGTAAGATATAAAAACAATAATTTATAATTTATCAAGGGTTCATAAGGGTAGGAGGGTGGGGGAGGGAGGGAAAAAACGAGTTGGTGATACCAAGGGCTTAAATAGAAAATATTCTGAAAAGAATGATGGCAACATATGTACAAATGTGCTTGATACAATGGATGTAAGGATTGTAATAAGTGCTGTAAGAGGCCCCAATAAAGTGATTTTTAAAAAATGGGATTTTAATTCCTGGCAAAGGTCAAGTGCTGAAGACAGTACCTGGTCCAAGGAGCGCACTCTCTAAGTGTTAGGCTGAAGGGGATAACTACGTGGCGAGACCAAGGCACAGGATGGAAATGAAGATGCTGCCCTGAAGGGCAGGGATGGGCAAAGGGAGAAATGGGCTGGACTCCCTACAACGTGGACCCCAGCAGAATGCCAAGTTGGCAAACACCCTCCACCCATGGGAGAAACAGCCAGAACTTACACAAAATCATCGAATTTCCTGACGTAAACGTTGACTTGGAACTTCTTGGCTGCTCTTAGGATAATGCCAGTCAACTGCAAATCAGAGAAGTGGAAAGAAAGCATTGGGACTTACGAAGAAAAAAACAAGAGTTTTCCATCGAGCTTTGTCATCATGGCTCTGATAAATGATATGCAGAGTGTGACTTGGGGAAGTGACCCCTAGAACAGACTGAGAGCCGTTGGTTGTTTCCGGTCCCTGGACATGCATGTGTGTCCGGGGGGGTCTTGTGAACATGCAGGTTCTGACGAGTGGGTTCAAGCTGGGGCCTGAGGTGTGGCATCTCACAAGATCCCAGGATGCTGTCATACTTTAAGCAGCAGAACCCTAGAGGACTCCAGCAGGAGGGAGAGCCAATAGAGAGCCTGCCAAGGCCAGACATCCAGGTGGATATGGAAGGAGCTTTCTAGAGGAGGGCCCATGGCCTGAGAAGGGGGTCAATAGCACACAGAGTCCACCCAACAGTAAGCGCTGCAGTAGCTCTCTCCCTTGGTGGCCTCCATCCTAGCACCCAGGCTATGGGGCCACATTTCGCTCATGATGACAAGCACCTGCTAACAGGTGCGCCTGAAAGCTGACCAGGTACACCGACCCAGTGGTGCCTAAGAGGGGGTCAGAGAAAACCACACCTACTCTTATTGACAAAAGGGTGACTGCATTAGCCTCTTAGATAGAATGCAGCTGCGTGAAGCTAAAAGTGAAGTGCCCCTGTAACTGTGTTAAGCAACCCAAGAAGGGAGGCCCTCACACCGTGAAGCGATAGCCTGATCATTTTAGGTTTTTAACGTCTTTGCTTTATTAGGATAGAATTAAATGGTCTTTATAACTCATGCTTTTAAAGCAAATCATCTCAAATAATAAACTCTTGAGAAGTCCCTATAGAATACAATTGGTTCAAAGTGACAGGTGCTAACATATATATATATTTAAAACTCAACCACAACAGTAAGTAAAGAGACTTCTCCAGGCTTGTGATTTGTGCTCTGTGAGAGAAATGAGCATGGTCAAGCCCAAGATCCAGGTGGGGAGACTGGCCAGCTGTCTCCAACTTTCACTGGAGTGTGTGTATGAAAGCAAGCTCGCTAGTATTTCTGCATATTATCATCTATGGAGGCCAGACTTAATAAAGGGCTATGAATACAGGGCTATGAAACTCCGCATGACACCCTACTGAGCGGAGTTTTCCCCACAGAGAAAGACTATGGATTCTGTGAATGTGCTTAGAACTAACCCACTGTCCTCTGTCCACACTGTATAAACAGAAGAACACAGATGCCCCATAACCAGCAAGCAGCACCTACTTACAGGATTAATGTCCACAAATGTCTCATCATTTTCCTCATTTGGATGCATGCCCGCAATGGCAGAGACAAACTTCTCATCTGCTTGGTAGAAGTGTGGGAAAGACATGATAATGGGTGCACCTGCATTTTAAGGAAAACAATGAGGAGGTAAGTATGAAGTTCCTGATCACAAACCTGACCCTCCAGGGGGAAGGGGGACTATACATGATTCAACATGAGACACTCACTCAAAAACACACTGCCGGCAAGTGGATTCCAACTCATAGTGACCCTACAGGAGAGAGCAGAACTGCTCCTGTGGGTTTCCAAGACTAACTCTTAGCAGGAGTAGAAAGCCTGTCTTTCTCCTGGGAGCTGCTGATGGTTTTGAGCTGCTGACCTTGTGGTTAGCAGCCCACTGCGTATCCACTAGGCCACCAGACCTCCTTCCGCATGGTACAGGAGTTATAGTTCCACTGTATACACCCTCGTTCAAGATTTATCTACATTTTCTGACATCTCATTCACTCTAAATTATTTTACTCCACAATATATATTGAAGGCCTGAATAAATTCTTTATTCTTCAACATTTATTTTGTTAACCTACAACATAGCAAAAGAAAGCTGAAGCTCTCTGCTCCCATATAGATTTACTGTCTCAGAAATTCAATGAAGCAATTCTGCCCTACAGGGTTCCTATGAGGGGAAATCCACTCAACCTAAGTGGTTTATAAAGTGTCAAGAACTGTATACACACTATTTTAATCAGCATCCCTGTGAAGTTAGAATTATTATATTCATTTTACACTTGAGAAAACAGGTAGAAAAGTTGCAGAATTCACCCAGGGACTTCTGGCTGCTGTGCGGAGTCAGAATTCTAAGTGAGCTTCCGTGCACCTGTCTTAATTATAGTTGCCTAGCAGCCAGGGAGTGTCTCCTTCCTTTTTCTTTTGGCTTGTTGTCCTATTTTAATTTCCTATTGTTTGACCAAAAGGAACCTTGGTGGTGTAGTGGCTACACACTGGGCTGCGATCCACATGGTCAGCAGTTCAAATCTCCAGCAGTTCCGAGGGAGCTTTCTGCTCCTATAAACAGTTAGCCTGGGAAACGCACAGGGGGTGGGTCGCTACGCGTCTGCATTGACTCGATGGCAGTGAGTTTGGTTTGGGTTTGTTTCACCAAAGGCAGACCTCGTTCTCCGGAAAGTGTTGATGTAGACAAGTTTTAGGACTGGTCATTTTATACACGTGGCTGCTGGTGAGATGAAGACCTACCCACCTGAAGACTTTGGGGTTTCTTTCTTTCTTTCCTTTTTTCCTTTTAAGAAACATGGAAGCAAGTTATCAGAGGAAACCTATCCAAGATCTCAGAGCCCTGGTGACTTGGTGGTTCCACAGCCGGCTGTGCTCCACAGGTTGGCAGTTTGAAAACACCGGCCTCTCCATGGGAGAGTGGCCTTTCTACTCTGTGAACAGTGACAGTCCTGGAAACTCACAGGGTCGGTTCTGTCCTGTCCTATAGGGTCGCTGTAAGTCAGCATAGATTCAATGGCAGCCCATCAGTTTATCCAAGACCTCCACCACCTGCCAGTCAGTTTGTCACACTGTGGTGACTTTTATCTTGCTTTGCTGCTGAAAGCTAAATGTGGTAGATATATAATCGTTTGTCAATTTGAGGATTAAGAGTGTAGGGGTGGGGTCTAGCTTGTCAATCAGATCATAGCCAATGAGGCCTCTGTGTGGGCAGGACCTTCTAAGAATTCTGGGAAATCTGGTACTTCCTCCTTGGAGGAGGGAGACACCTCTCTCTCTGCCACTCTCCGAGAGACATTGTAGCTGACAAGACACATGGAACCACCCTAGTGCCCTGAGCTGGACAAGCCACATGGATGCAACCATACCTCTGAAGCCAGAGAAGCCACGTAGAGACCCTAGCTCTCTCCCTTGGTGGCCTCCATCCTAGCACCCAGGCTATGGGGCCACATTTCGCTCATGATGACAAGCACCTGCTAACAGGTGCTCCTGAAAGCTGACCAGGTACACCGACCCAGTGGTGCCTAAGAGGGGGTCAGAGAAAACCACACCTAC